TGGGTTCCCTCGAACCCACACCTGGGTTCTTCGAACCAGCTGGGTTCCATGGAACCTGACCCTGGGTTCCGTCGAACCCAGGCATGGGTTCAACGGAACCCAGGCGTGGGTTCGAAGAACCTAGCACGCCTGGGTTCTTCGAACCAGCTGGGTTCCATGGAACCCGACCCTGGGTTCCGTCGAACCCAGGCATGGGTTCAACGGAACCCAGGCGTGGGTTTGAAGAACCCAGCACGCCTGGGTTCAAGGGTAAAAAACATATATATTTTTTCTCTGTTTTCTGTGGGTTTGGTGTTTGATGATGATGAAGAAAGCAAGGCAAGGAAAAGGAAGGAAAAAAAAAAAGGCGTTGTTGGGTTCGATTCAACCCAGGTGCTGGGTTTGTTTGCTCGAGGAAGAAGATGATGGCAAATTCGTAATTTTGGTGGGCCCCACTTTTGTTGGGTTGAGCAAGGACATGACATGTCACATTGCCATGTCATTATTTATTCATTTATATAACTGACGTGTCTCAAATGTTTGACATGTCATTAAATTGTCGTGAAATAACGGTGAGATTTTAACGGAATGACCAAATCGGGGTAAAAATGGTAAACAGTACGGATCAAATCAAGGGTTTTTTTAGTTCAGAGACCAAATCGGAGGTCCGTACAATAATTTAGGGACCAAAAAGGGGTTTTAACCTTTTTTTTTTCTCTATCTAATGCATCTCTGAACCATCACAGAAAAACGTCATAAACGAAAAAACACAAAAGTTGATATTTTCCAAAGACTAAAAAAAAATTGCAAGTGATTATTTTGCATCACAGGAAACAAACTAATGTGAGAGGGGAAACAAATGAAATCAAATTTACGGCCAGGCCACAACCCATAAACACTTACCGCAGGCAAACCATGAAAGAAAACATTTACTGATAACAAAGAAAGGAAGAAAAAAAAAAACAGAACATGACAGAAACACAAAAAAAAAAATCTATAAATAAATAAAAAATAAATTAACAATGCACACCTAAAGGAAATAGGAAAACTCAAACTTTATTTTCTTGAAGTTCTGGTTACAAGCCTCAGATTTGCCCTTCTTCTCTCAATCTTCGAATCCCTCTTTTTCCCCCAATTTCCTCTCCCCTCTTAGAAGCCGAAGGGCCCCCCTTTTTATAGACCAAAGGAAAAACCCAATCCTAATGTGCTTCTAATACTCAAATCTCAATCCTAAGATAACAACTCAATCCTATTTGAAATTGGATTTCTTAGTTTTTCCCACATCTACCCCTTTTCTAGTCTAGATTCATACCTTCTATGAATTAGGACTCCCACCTTTAATCAATTTCGGACTCCTTGGAGTTGATGACTTATGGTTTGTCCATCTTTATCCAAATCCTTCAATTGGTTGAGCTTATCTTCAAAGAAAATCTTCTTGGCAGCATGCTGGAGTTGATGAGAGAAGGGGTGCGGTACAGAGAGATCTTAACCCCTTCAAGTTTCCAACTTTACAAAAATAGTCCATTGATTTTTGATTTTAGCATTTAGCCCCTCAGTAAAAATTGGGTTATGACAGTTGCCCCCTCTTTACTTTTCTTTTTACAAAAAGAAAAGTAAAGAATAAAAGAATAACCCAATTTTTAAGCTTTGAAAACAATTTATAAGTGAAACCTTGTGGTCTTCATTCTATCTTTTGCAAGATGCGGTCTTCATCTTTTATTCTTCCTCAGATGCAGTCTTCATCTTTTATTCTTCCTCAGATGCAGTCTTCATCTAAGATGTTACTTCTAAGATGTGGTCTTCATCTTCTCCTTTGTGAGATGCGGTCTTCATCTCCTCTTTTTCCTTAGATGCGGTCTTTATCTAGGATGTGACTTATAAGATGCGGTCTTCATCTTATCCTTTGCGAGATGCGGTCTTCATCTCTCCTTCTTCCTTAGATGCGGTCTTCATCTAGGATATGACTTCTAAGATGTGGTCTTCATCTTATCTATTGCGAGATG